GTGCGATATATATGTCAAGAGAGAGAGAAAGCAGGTATCCGACACGAAGCTGTGGTAGAGAGTGGCTGTCGAGCGCATCGCTATCGCGTCCCGCGTCCATTAATTCGCTTAATTAATGTGCAGTGGCTTACCGCCCACCGTGTGTATATAATAGCGCGAATATCTGGACAACAGACGTTAGAACATTATATTGGATGTGGGGGGAGTGGGGGGGGGTGGTGGTAAAAAAATTTATTTTTCTTTTCCTTTTATTTTCATCTTTGCTCGTAAAAGCAGTATACTTGGTGTGAAGTTTCAAACAATTCCTTCGTCGTAAGTTCTGGGTCATTTAGCGCGAACAAGAAACTCCCTTCTCTCCGGGCAAAGAGAAAGTCCGGGGTGTACGTGGGAGCGAGCTGGTATGTAGTATACACATACCCGCAGAGAGAATGGGCCAGAGCAAGCTGTACGAGAACTGATGCAAGAGAGGGATGAGAATCGAGTAGGGGAGACAAAAGTTTCACTCGCTGTACTGCGCTCGATACACGGCAACCATCGCGAGACGTACACCCGAGGATTTGATGATGTTATCCATGTATACTTATATATTCTTTCGAGGATTTTTGGGATTTTGGTTGTATGGAACAAAAGTTCATCTACATCAGTTGAGCCGAGTCTAATGAACATATCCGACGTATATACAGTCCCGCGGATGAACTGTTCCGCTGCGTAGTTCGATCAATCGGTATATGAGGGATCGAAGTTGGATAAGTAGATAATGGACGAGCTTAAAGGGGAACGATGAGGGATGAGGAAACATGGTCATATGTAACGTAACAAGGTCCAGCCACACTTGCAACGTGTACAAGGAGGAGGCGAAGAAATCCGCGGGATAAAACCAAAAGATGATGATAATGTATACGCTCGAGAGGGTTTTCGAATAGGTATCCGATGGAGAGATTCCGTATAAATTTTAACGACCATCGCAGCCGAGCGAACCAGCTGCAGCTAGTAGCGCGCTACTGCTCTCGAGCGCCCTCTACCTCTCCCTCAACCCCACCCCACGGAGTGTCAGACCTCTAAGCGGTCGTCTATCGATCGCGAACCCAGTTTTCTTTCTCTCTCTCTCTCTCTCTCCCTTCCTCCTCTTTCGCAACCATATAGGTATACATACACGTACATCCGCCCCCTAGCTTGTTCGTGCGCTATATACACACCTATACGTGCATTGCTGCTGAAAAACGCTTTCGCTCGAACCTTCCCTTCTTTCTTCATACTGTATGCCCTCCAAAGGAGGTGAAATATATATGTATACGTATACCGCATGATCATCAAGGCTTGTTTGGTTAATACCTGAGAGGCTTGTTAGAAACCCTCGCCCTGCTGCTGCATATACGCGTGATGTTTCCTTCAAGACACCCCGGGACTGGCTCCATTAGGGAAATGAATTCCGCAAGCAGCTAGGGTTCTCTACCCCCCCCCCCCTCCCCTCGCTCCTTGAATTGGCCACATTCTTACTCGTGTATGTAGCGATCTAGGGGGTATCCACTTTGTTTAGCTTTCCAATCGCAACGAAAGTAGCAACCAATACCTACGTATATGTGAAGGAATTGCATCTTCTTCACGGCAAAAATATATGTCAAGTGTGTATCCGAGCAAACTGTTATCGCGGCCCCCCTCGAGGGTCTTATCGGGATAATTACTCGGTTCGCTTCTCTTCTCTCTCGTTGACCCAAAGATTAATTGTCATCGGATCTTTCTTTCTCGTGTTGTATATACAGCGCCCCCGCGCGGCAAACCTCGTGCACGCACGAGTTTTCCCTCCTTAGTTGGGATGAGGGAGAAAAACACGCGTATAGATCAAGGGAATTGCCGTTTGGTCGGGATGAATTTTGTTTCCAGATTTTATTGATTATATTGCGGCGCGCTGTATACACGAGAGTGATGGACTGGTCGATTAATCGAGCAACTTTTCCGTCGACGGGGAAGAGCAAAAAAGATCACTCTTGCGTCCCCACTGCATTACACGATATTTCGGTTAATAAATAACGGAGAGTGTGTATATATTATGTAACTAACTGTAGACCAATGCCGCGTCTGGACAACGTTGGTGATGCTGTTGGGAGAACACATTTCCAGACCATTCGTCTTCATAACCTTGTTTTATGGGAGCAGAGCTGTAATTTATAGAGGGGAAAAAAAACCTATCCAGCCCTTCTCTCCTATTTTTTTTTTTTTTTCCTCAGTGCAAAAGCCCAAGAAGAAGAGGAAGATGGGGCGAGAGGAGGAAAGAAAAAATAAAAATCTTCATGAATACGAGATGCGATCGATCGAAAGCGATCGTGAGCACGCGCGCGCCCCCAGCTGACGTCATAATCCAAAGAGGCTTGGGGATACGCGACACCAGTTTCCTTACCCATTAACGCTCGGATGAGCCCAGGTTCTGCAGTCATGGCTCCTAATGCACATCACTGGAATTGCATGTATATACTTGTACAACAAGAAGAGATCGCTACAGGAATGGGGGGAATGTTCCCCTTATGATACTCTTAATTGAATTTTCAAGGAACAACTTACAGGTTATGTGCCTATGTGTGTTTTTTTTCAGGTTTTTATTTACAGTTTAACGAAACTTATAATTCCTTCCTCTTATAAAAGATAGAGATCATTTCACTATTATACTTTCCGTACTTATACATATGTCGAATTAAAAGGTTAGATAATAAGCTCGGATTAGTGACCTAACCTTTATCCTCGTGAAGCGAAACAAGATGTGTTAGTATGGTGTGGGGGGGGGGGATATCCAACCGTGATATAAAAGAATCATCGCCTTTGACAAAAACCGAAAGGATGAGGTAGAGCGCTGCCGATGCTCAAACATGGGAGAGAAAAACCATTTATGAGAATACCTATATGCCCCCAACAAAGCGTCACAGCCCATCATACAATATATATGTTGTAGCTCGGAATCTTCGAATATAGCGCATTTTAAGGGGGAATGGCGAGAGAGAGAGAGACGACGGGCAAATACGCTTTTGAATATATATTTTTCCTGCAGCCGCTGGAGAATCGCGTGCACTGGCAGTTACAAGCCATCTGGCGCGACTGAGAATGTAGGTCGCGCGCGGATTTCACCCCCCCCCCGACCCCCTTTCTCCCCATACTTCCTTCTCCTGCTCATAGACCTTCGTCCTTTTGGTCGAAAAAGTCGTGAAAAGTACCGAAGAGGAGGAAAAAAAAGGGGTCCATCGCGATCTTTTATATCTTCGATTTCTCCGTGTATATACACACGCGAGTCAAAGAGGATTACACGAATTACGGACAAGCTTTTGTTTATCGCTTCGACACGAGAGTGCACACGAGAGAGGGGAAGTAGTGGTTGGAATGCAAACAAACATTACAATTATCGCGATAAGAGCTCGGGGTCGTGCTGAGTAAGAAGGTCGGAGGGAGAAAAAAAAAACTCACGGCTGATATGCGTCATTGGAAACCTTCCAAGACATGCTTTTTACTGCGGTAAGGAGACAATCGTCTTTTAAAAATACATATAAAAGAGACGCAAACACAGTCACACAGAGTTGTACTTTGACAAGATCTACGGTTTAATTATCCCTGGAGATTTTTAGGGGGGAAGTTTGCACACCTTTGTGCCGAGGATATCGTTATATACTACTCGGGTATACATTTCCATGCCCGAAGGTTTGAAAAAGAAACGGAGGAGAGTTGTGCAAACAGTGTAAGTATAGGGTATTAAATAAGATGTGTACGATAGTGGGAAATTTAAAGTCAACCAGTGAGATGATAAGAAAAGCTCGCGAGGAGGGGAAAAACGAGGGCACGGGGTGAAATCAATGAATAAACGGGTACATCGTTGGGGATGAGGGGCTCGTTAGTTCCATCTTCACTGTATTTGATTACTGTTTCATGAAAAATTTGGAAACCAACTTCATGCTCGGTTTTTTTTTTTGTTTTTTTTTTTTTTCACGGTAATTGAAACATGCTATACATCACCGCTTCCACCAGATTTACCCTTTTGACCTGGGATGCTTGTTTTTCAATCAACATCTGAAAAAAAAGCAATGGTATTCCGTACCGAAAGAAAGAAAAGAATTAATCATCTCACGGTTTGTTGAACAAAACTACCCATCGTTAAAAAAAAAAAAATAATAAAAAAAAGAAGAAGAAGAAGGCGTGAAAGAAGAAGACGAAGAAAATTTTCATTCCCTCGTAGAGTAGTGGTGGAAGGTGCGAAAGAGGAGGAGGATCGCGCACGTACGTATATACGCGAGTACGTGAGTTGACGAAAAAAATTTCCTCCCCGGTGAAATTTGCGCTGAGCGCGTGGGTATAGGGGAAAGAAAAAAAAAAAAAAATTGGCCCCTCTTCTCCCTCCCCGTCCTCGCTTCTCCGCACGGCGCACAAAAGTCACGTCCGACAAATCGGCGAAACGAAACGGCGGAAGCCCTCTTGGCTGCTTTTCAATTTTCCACCCAGCTTCCTCTCTCTCTCTCTCTCTCTTAGGCTCTTTTTGATTCTTTCTCCGCTACTTCTACGTCATTCTCCCTATGCTACTTCCTTTTTGCTCACACTGCCGTCCCTTTTACGCCTTTGCGACAAGCGAGTCAAAGGCGTGCGAAAAATTAAACGTGCCTATAACATCAAGTGCCGGACTGTCGACTTTAGCTTGGACGCGAGCCCGTATAATTTATTTCGTCTTCTTTTTTTGTCATCCTCGTAAAACACGGTGTCGCGACGAAATGATGCTTTTGAGAATTGCCGTTTGTCTGACCGGTAGTGGCAATAAAAAACATAGTTTCAACCATCGAAAGCCCCAAACAGAGTCGATCTTTCACTGGAAAAGTGTGATTATCAAAGTATAAAATCCACGGGGATTGCCAATAAAATATACCGAGCATGCGTGCAACGCCAATAATGCACCTATTATGTGTTAGAACCCAGAGGGTTACCGATTAAACCCCACAACAAGTCATAACCGATCATCTCAAAATTGTTTTTTTCACCTGTTCTGCTGTTGCTCGGCGCTCGCGGAGTTGAGGCTCTTGACTGGTCGCTGCTGGCCGGTGCAGCTTTGCGCTGCTCACCGGGTTTCCAGCTGTTCTGGCGCGACGCCGCCACAGCTGCCCTTGTCCCTGTGTCCCTCTTCCTTTGGTTCCCTGCCGCCACTAATGTCCTCCCTCGTACCACCTGCTAACGACGATTGGTGCTGGAGTTGCAGCCTCTCGCCGCTACGTTCGCGTCTATGCATCACACCTTGGAGACACTTTCTATTTCTTTCTAATCTTTGAATGCTCTGGAAAACACAATAATCACCGTGGCTTTGGTTAATACATTCAGTATACCATGGTAAGCAATTGCATTATTTTTCATGAATAAAATTAACTCGAAAGGATCACGTTACACCCTCGCTGTTGGATAATCGGTAATGTTCTACGAGAACTACCCTGGTCTCAAGATAACGGGGTCTTTTTTTTTTTTGTTCTCCTGGCTTTTGTACCTTTTATTCTTACTGCACGACTTTGACTATCGCGGCAGTTACCGTTTAGTCGGAACAGGGCCGTTAGAGTGATAATACGAACGAACCTTTACATTCCTAGCGAGTAATTTTATATATCCCCCCTTCCCCTTTCCCCGACGATCGATCGCAAAATTGAAAGTCAACAATAATAGTGCGCGGAAAAACACATCCTCTCCTAAGCTCCTGCGTATTGACTGTCCGTAAAACGCGTCCTATCAACTTTCTTTCTGTTCCATACTGTATTTTGTTTCTCTATCCTGTATTGTATTTCTTTCTCTCCCCACGGCCCCCCTTTTTTTTGCGCGTCTCACGCGGAGAAACTACCGTCGAATTTTCCCTTCCAGCGCGCAAAATCGAATTACTCCCCTTTCGTTGTTCCATTGGAGCTCCTTTAAGGCAGCTCGGGCAACTGTACTGTGTATCCTCGAGAAATGAGAAAAGAATTGGACGGGAAAATTCACTCCCGTTTTATCAAGTGACCTCCCCTACCCCCCCTTTTCCCCCCATCGGTGTTTCATCATCGAGAAAAATCAAATTTAGGGCAGCCACGTCGTTTTATGGATTTGTGGAACGAAAAAATAAAATAAAATAATGATGCGAAAGGAAGCTGTACGAGCTGCGGATATGTGAATCTTTCCAATTTAAAAACGAAAGCTAAAAGTGTGTTATCGAGATTAGTCTTGAGTGGATTATATATTGAGGGAAAAGCCGAGATAATTTCAATCAGTAAATACGAGCAAATGTTAACATGGATTAAGCGATGCCATTTACGTCATTTAATGACGCTATTGGAAAATAACACACTTACGTGGGGGATGCAAGGGTAAAATAAAATAACAAAAAAAAATAAAAACCAAGAAAACTAGCAGCAGGTGATGTAAGGGATGTGTTGGGTGAATAATAAAAACAACAGATGCAGAATGAGTAAAAGCGGGGGTTTTCCCGTCTATTGCGGGACATTCGGGAAGGGAGACTGTTTTAATTGATTAGCATTGTTATATAAATATATATATATGCATATAATCCACTGTTACCGGGTGGGGAAAATTTCCTCCTAAACTTTGGCGATAATTTCTTAGGGTGAAGGGAGAAAAGTGGGCGGGCGAAGGTTAATGAGCAAATAAAGTTAAAAGAGAACGAGGGAGAAGGGTGTCTAGTTGGGAATTCCTCCGACGGAGGAAATTAAGGGCTGGGCTGCAAGGAAAGGTCGGAAAAAGCGCGTGACAGGGGACGGTGGATAACTTTTGCCGACAGAGTCGCGTCCACCTCCATGATTTTTTTTTCTTTTTTTTCTCTCTATTTTTAGGAGAACAGTGAAATAACCGGAGGATCTCCAATTGTTTTATCTAATGCTCGCTTTGTGTGTTGTTACGTATGGGATAAGTGTGCTTTTGTTGGTGCTTTTTCGCTCGTATGCTGGCTTTTCTTTTTTCCTTGAGTTGGTATTCTGACAGCCATTGTTGGGTAATTAGTTATTCGCGTTATTGTTTGTTTCTCATTACGTATAAAGGAAACTGGGGCGAGTTTGTGCACTTTTGATATTTCATTTTTTTTTTCCCGAACTCTAACTGGCATTTGATGATTTAAAAAATTGTACATAAAATATGGCTTTCCGAGACTACAAATGAGGATATTTTTGAGCAGTACTACTTGGACGAATTTGTGTAGCAAGATTGATTGCAAAAATATTTTATAATAAAAAAAATGGGAGTAAGTTCATACGTGCCATTGAAAATTGCAGTATTTATTTATTTTCAATTCTAAAGTTTGACTAAAAAAATATTTTGAAATTAAAAAAATGAGAGTAAATTCATACGTGCTATTCAAAGTTGTAGTATTTATTTATTTTCAATTCTAAAGCTTACCTACAATAAACACTCTAGCAATTTTCTCATTTAAAAGACTTACATAAAGGAATTTGCAATTGAGCTATTGTACAAACAATTTATTTAAAAAATTTTTTAGTTTTGTTTGCAAAAACTTCGAATTTTATTAATAATGACAAGAGATATTTTTATATAGAAACGATAGCAATAAAAATTTTGTATTTTTGTTAAAAAATATTTAATAAATTTTCTCTTGATCTTGAATCGTGAATCTTAAATACATTGATGTAGTCTTTTAAATAATGGTGTACGAATACAAAATTTATAAAAAAAAACGTTTGATATTTTTATCAAACAATGTTTAAACCATGGAAGGTAAATTTATTGTAAGAGTTTAGTAAGTTTTTAAACAATGGGTATTGCTTAAAATTAAAAAATAGTACTAACGAACACGAGTATCTAATTCTGAGAAATCAATTTTGATAAGACTTTAGAATATCATTTCTATATCATCCACGATCAAACACAGCATCTTCAGCACGATTCTATAATATATACGTTTATATTTGAAAAATTTTTATGATTATTACACGTTTGAACCAGTTTATATTGTATGAAAGTGTGAATATTTGATTTTAAAAAGTTTTTTGTAAAACCTTTGGTACAGGCATTTAACTTAGACTCAGTAAAAAAGTTATTTTAATACTGAGCACTAAAATTAAAGGTTTTATTTAATAAGAAGTTCTCACTCTGAAATTTTATTTTGAGCCTAACTATAGCACTTTACCACTTATAGTGCCTCAACTATGCAAAAATAAACAGTAACGTCGCTGTACAATTAGAAAATTAACTAAAAAGTGGATGTACTAGGTGTAATAGTCAGTGGGTTGATTTTGAAACTACTTTCTCCCATTGTGGGGGATGGAAGAATTATACTTTGAAGTTTTATCAATATCCATTCACCAAATACTCTCTTCCCGTCGATGCGATCAAACGCGATTTTCTAAAATTTTATTTCACTTCACTAGGACAAAAGATGGTAGTAAAAGTTAAATAACTCATTACCGAGCTTCGACTGCTTCAAACAAGAAATCCGACATTATTGTTACGAATTGGTGGAAAAATCAGTAAAAGAATGTTTCCTTATCCATCAAAAACGATGTATGGAGCACGCCGACTTATTCAACTTTAGCACATTTATTTTCTCGACTGCCATCGAGCGTAACGAATAATAAATTATCGTGAAATAAATATGGATGAATATATCATACGTATGAATACGGATTTGCATTAATTGGAGCTTATCAATAAGAGTCGGAATAAACATTAATTAGCTGGCCATATCCTTCAACGCGATGTTCATTATGTCAAAGTAGTTTTAGAAGTTACTATTGACAATCATATTCTTCTTTTTTTTTATCGAATATATTCTTTGGTGAGCAGCTACAACATGAAATTATTATTTTTCTAACTCGAAAGCTATGTGGTCGTGGTTATTTATATTTATTGATTTATTACTTTGAAATCGATTTAGCGTTTTTGATTGATAATAATAATAAGTATATGCTGTTTCTATTGGTGAAAAAATACTTTAAAGCTCTTATTTTGATTTGAAGTTTCACTTCAAAAGTCACCCAAGTCTGAAGTTCGACTTCAAAATTAAAGTAAATCACTTCTTTCAATGTATACTCTTTGATTTAAACTTTTGATTGAAAAGTTGAAATGGTTCCACGGTTAAATTTCAGCTTTTATTCACACCTGATCTCGTATATTAGAAACAAAAACTCTAGCCGTATACTTGACGTTTCTAAATAGTATAGGTTATGTACTCAAAACAATAAGGTGACAGAGCTTAGGGTTCTGACTTGTTTTATGTATTCTTATGTAGCGGTTGTAGCTGGGTTGATTAGAGCTAATCTGACTGGGGGTTTTTTTTATCGAGTCTCGCTTCAAGGTGATCCGGTGGTAGGCGGTCTGAGGGGTGTGCAGAGCCAGTTCAAAAGGCCAGGGCATGGGTAAAAAAAGGGAGGATTAGTCGTAGAGACTAAAAAAAAAAAAAAAAAAAAAAAAAAAAATGAAAACAAAAACAGAGCTCAGATGGCTTCAATGTGCTCATCACCGGAGAAACTCAAGGGTGGGTTTCGAAAAATTTTCAAGAAAAACAGTGTATTTTTCCAAATGATGTCTGGACTTTGAGGGACTTTCTTTCCGAGGGAAACCGATACCTGGCCAGCTCGTCGGTAAAGTCATTAGCAGTTTTAAAATGGGTTCGGTAGGACGGGTTGGATGGTTAACGAAAGAGATCCTTCCACCTGCACTATCTGCAAGTTGTAACCGTTAGTACAATGGATAACCGAGTCGTCCAAAGGGGAGTTTTCACTGTAGGGTCGTACGAAAGACTATGGCATACTAGAGGAAAGAGGGCGATTTGGGAGAAAAAAGTATTAGGTCGTAAAGGTAAGGATTTAAGATACGTTAAAACTCTTCAATAGGTGTAAGTGACATCAAATAGACTAAACAGAATATGATTCTACGTAAAAAAAAAAATAATAATAATAATAAATAACATTTAAATTATCATTTACATTCCACAAAGCACAATTAAAAAATCTTTCAAGGATGTATGTGTGTCAGAACCTAATGGTTAATCGATATCATTCGACCAAACAACTTGACGTGGTGGAAATGAAATAATTGCAGCGTAACATCTTATACCTCTGTTCTCC